GGAAACCAAATCAGGAGGAAAGGGCATTCATTTTGCTGGTCCATCCCAGTTGTCTTTGCAGTGGTACTTCAGTTTTAAGCCTCTCTTCATCTCCCTCTCCCTAGCCTTGCTCCCAGTGGTCAGCAGTTACCTCTCACTACTACTCTGTGCTCCTTTGTGCTAGTCACTCGCTTGCTGCCATGTTACCTGCCCAGTTATTCCTTTCCCTTGCGTTTATGTTGTTAATGGAACAAGTGTCTGGACTGGCACATTCAAATTGGTTGCCGGGGCAAACAAATGCAGGGATGCATGTTTTTTTTCCGGGTGTCCCTTTTATCTAGAAGAGGAGGGTTGTCCCCTTTTGAATATCTGATGCAGACAATATAACTCTACCAGGCACTGCTGAGCTCCCCACACCCAAGAGCCTCTTTGCTACCTCCAGGTAAGAGCATTCCTGTGCTGTAAGTTGCAATGTATATTAGTGAAGCTGGGGATGTTTTCAATTAAAATTGCTGGCTTTGCACCCATATGGGCTATGTTCTGCCTGTGTCAGGCCTTTAAGGGTGTTTGGGGACTAACACTCACCACAAGTACATCGGCAAACTCCTTCTGGATAAACAGTCTCATCTGTCTCCGGGACAGGCTGGAGCCCTCCCTGTCCTCCGTCACATATTGGTAAAAGACGTTGATGATGGTGCCGATGCTGTCCAGAAGGTGAGGCATTGTCCTGCAGATTCAAGCTAGCTTGAAAGGAAAGAGAAGATACAAGTACAGGATACATGTCCCCCGTCTAAGCATGGGACGGGTTCCTATTGGCTTCAGTGGGCTTTGTATCAGGTAAGAGGCACTACTCTCCTGCTGAGTCCTGTAGGAGAGGACCAGCTCCCTTCCCTGGCTCCTAGCATGGGCATGCACAGCAAGTCAGGAGCACAGGTGACGATTAAACCCTAGAGAGCCGGCTTTCAGCTCTCTGCTCCTTGCTGTAGCTACCAGAGGGAGTTCCTCCTTGCAAAGCCTAGTTTTGTAGTAAGCTCATGCATATTATACCTGCAGGGGAGTTTACACACCAGTCAGAGATGTGGCTGCAACTTGATGTAGATACATCCAAGCTAACACTAAACTATCTAACTTCAGTAGCAGCCATTTATAAGAAACCCTGGAGCTCAGCTTTGCTGCCTGCCTACGTATTCATCCATCTTCTTGGATGGGTTTAGATCCTGCGATCAAACCCCATGTTCTCCAGAGATGCTGGTAGCAGGACCCATGCTACTCTGTTTAAAGTGAGTTCAGGTTTCTCTATATGAACTACGCTCACTTCCAGGTATATGGTCCCTTAATGTATTATTTGGACAGGAAACTTGAAGTGGGAACTGCAGAGGGAGGTCTGAAGGGGCGAGCAGGAAAAGGCTATGGATGTAGGTCCCAAGGCAACAACAGTTTTACTAACATCACTAGGGTCTAACCCAAGACTTTTGAAGTCAACAGGAAAAGTCCCACTGGTGTCTGCTGGTTTTAAACGAGGCCCAGGACAACACAGCTCTTAGAAAGAAAAAGTAAGCCCTCAGTTCTGACGTTTGATAGAAAGAGGCTGACCAGCCATGACAGAGCCCCCGTCAGAGAACTGCAGTGCCAGGGTAGAGGCAAGGCAGAAACACATGAACATAGGGCAGGAAAGCCAGCACTTTCTAAGAAGACCTGACACACAGCAACTCAGGGCAAACTCATTTCTGCATGGCCTCAGCTCAAGATGCAAAGTAGTCTGGTTTCTTGCACCCAACCTGGCGTGGGTAGCTTGACAAGACACAGAGTTGTCTCCCATTGATAATTTACTGAGCCACTGCAACACCACTAACCACAGTGACAACAACATTTTGTGTTTATGCAGCCCCATCTGCAGGGACTCTCAAACCACTTCATGAAAATGGCTCACTAGCCCCATTTTAGAGACGGGGGAAGTGAGTCAGAGAGAAGAGAAGTGACCTTGACAAATTCCAGGGTGAGCTAGTGGCAGAGAACAGCTTAGACTAAAATCTAGGCAACTGCCATCATCATTGGTCCATACACTTCCTTTTATTTGGACCCATCAATGAGCCACATTAGAGATCATCCTCAAATCGAGGGATTGCTGCTGATGATTTTGATCTCCTAGAAATGTGTTAGCCATACCCACACCCACATGCATACATTGCACATCAAATCCTGCTCTCTGTTCCCTCTGTGATAACTTCGTTGTTTGAACCAGAGAGAGGCACAGAAACCTGTATCCCCCCCAGATAAAGGTCATTATCTGCTTTCTAAGCACTGCTATTAGTTTGCATCTAGCAGAATGAATCAAACAAAACAGCATTTTCCTAGAGACAAACATTTAAGGCCTTCAGAAAAGCTCCCTGCAGTTTATCTTGCAAGATCCTCACTATCACCCAGGCATCAGGATTAACTATTTCCTAATAAAAATTCCCCGCTGTGTAAATGAGAAGGCTCTTTTAAGAGCTGACTTACCCAACTCACCAGTGGGAACCAGTGTGATTCAATGAAGCCGCTGGAAGAAGCCAGAGACCTGGGCTCTTTTATAGGGTCCCTAATTGCATTATGGCAGGGAGACACCCCTTCTGGACGGTGTCCTGATTCATCTGTCGCCAAGCCCAGCTGCACCTTCAGGTCCTCAAACGGGTTATTTCACTTATCAACCCCTCACCTATCATTTGAACCCAGAAATAGCAGCCAGTGTGTGACAATCCTAGCACCCGTTGGTCCCACCTCATCTGAATTGCAAGGTCATTTTCCAGGAGGGCTGTATTTAATTTTTAAAAAAAATAACAAATGCACATTAAATAGCTGAACTTGGTGGGCAAGGCTTGGTGTGACAAAAGGATTGTCTGTATAGTGTTACAGCAGCATTTGCTCATCTCCGAGGGCCAAATTCTACCCAGATCCCAAAGGCGTAAGGTTGGAAGATGATGGTGTTGCCAAGATCAGAACCTGGATTGCAATAAATCTGATTTGCCCACAGGATGGGCCTGATCCAGTAGCACCACTGGGTTTTTGTGCCTGTTACTATGTAAATGCTATAGGCACCCTGAGCCTGACTTCAGTGGGCTTTGGATTTTGCTTTGTGATACCCAGGGATGAAGACAATAGTAGATCTGTTAGCGATTGGTATAGTATCAATGCCTAGCAGAAAGGGCATAGCATGGAAACACACACAGGAAAAAAAAAAAGAGATATATTTATATACCAATGAAAAGGGATCACCACCTGTGTTACATTGTTATCAGCAAGAAAAAAATTAAATAAAATTACTGATAAGTCTCCCGAAATTCAATGTCGAGGCTGAATCAAGCTCTAATCCATGCTTGGAGCTTTTCAAATCTTTTTTTTTATGGAAGCAGTAAAATACAATTAAATCTGAATGAAGACAATGGCATGTAAATGGATTTGGGAGTCCAGGCCTAAGGGACTACCCTGATGTATCTTTATTAGGGCAAATTGAAAGGAAAAAAAAAAGGAATACATTTTCAGCCAGAAAAGGCAAAGCAATGGAAATGTTTTCAATGGTATTTTTCTATTGGAACAATTCAGTTTTTTGCTTAAAAAAAAAAAAAAAAAAAAAAAAAGTGAAAGCTAAAAAAATAAAAACAACTTTTCCTATGTGATGGGGTTTGAGAGGAACATGAAACACTGGGAGAGTTTGGGAAACAGCGACTTAGCCAAAAAAAAATTCTCATTGAAAAAAAAAATGCTGACGAAAAAGACTCAACTTTCCTTTCTTCCATGTGTTGCTTTCAGTTTAATTGTGTTTGATCTCTAATTAACAACCCCTTCCCCCCCCTCCAACACCTGTAATAGGAAATTGCTTTGTGCTGGATCCCCGGGTGATTGTTTAAGGCAATTTAGAGCTGAGCCGTGCAGTACCGGATCCTTAATATTAGCAGTGGCAGATGGACCATTGCTCTGAGGGGCATGGGGTCCAGTGGGGATTCGTCCCCAGGACTCCTGGGTTTCAGCTGTAGCCCTGCATCAGCTTGCTGTGCAACCTGGGGTTGAGTTGGCCCATCCGCCAGAGAGAGAATCATGGGTGTAGTGAGGCTTAATTAATTGATACCTATAAAACCCTTGGAAAGGCTCAGATAAATAAGTGTGAAGGACTGTTACTAACAGTTCTTCATTTTTCCCCCTTTTTTGAGATAAAATTATATTTGTCCAAATTATACCCCTCCCGTGGAGTAATGATACCCTTAGGAAACAGTAATGTTATGGTAGATTTGTGGTGCTATTAAAAGGAGAATATTATAGTGCAGTTGGAGCACGTACATTTAGTTTTACGCAACAGCTTATCAACCCACCTGGACAGGGTAAAGTAACACAGGACACCCAGGTATGGTTCACTTGATCAGCTATGCAGAGCCACTGCAGTCCCATCATACATTGCAAACCAGCCAAAAACATGGCATGTTTAATGTAGGCTGTGATACCTTGCTTTCTGACTGCAAATTTTACAAAGTCAGTCTGGTTGCTATAGCATAACATAGTTTGGCTGAGCTCTCTATGTAAAGCTTGACTTAATAATGCTCACATATGCTCGCTGAGCTGCAAAAAGATTGTCTCTCATTGGGAATTGAAGGCCTCGTGGGATTTAAACTGGCAGTCAAAAAGGGGCTGAATATTTTGGCTGTCTTGATTTTGTCTGGCTTGAGACACAAGAGCAGGGATCTTTTCCAAAATGCTCAGTACTTTGAGTGGATGTTGGTGCTGATCTGTCCTGCAACTCCGGTCCCCGAGGCCTGCGGTTAGAAGGCAGCAGTTCCTAGATGTGGCTTCTCTGCGATGGTGTTGCCTTTGGTTGCCATCCATTCTGGTAAAACTTTGCAAAATTCATAGGAGTACTAAGAACCCAACAGCTTTAAAATATGTGTTGCCTTTCTTAGGGTTCCTAAGTCTCCTAGCTGCTTTTGCAAATATAACTTTTGATGTCAAAGACTTCCAGTTGACTTGTGTTGTAAGATGTTGGAACAATCTCCTGTCTTAATCCTGAGGGACTTCTGCCTCGTTTGACTGAGGGATCTAGTGTTTGGGAGCTGACATGGAGTTAAAATAAAGAAGAAAAGTTTCCCCTGATTGTCTTCTTGACAATTAAAGGTGTGATTTTATCCCTAGTTCTGTCCTGGTGGATAGTTGCAGAGAAGGGCCAGTGTGTGTGCAAATTATTACACAGGTATTAATAAGGGGGATTAATTACCTCCCCCCGCAAATCAAGATTTGCCCACCTGCCAGGGGACAGACAGTCTTGGCCCTTTCCCTTTCCATGTGCAAGGACTAGGGCTGCCTAGCTCTGCATTGGGCGTCTGGTGGGATGCCCCTTTACTCCTTCTCCTTTTGCCCAATTCAGCACAGCTCAGTGGACCACAGTCAGGATAGGAAGGGATGAACACTGCAGCACTTCAGGGGGCTTCGTATCTCCCTGTTTACCAGGTGTCCTGGTATTATTACAGTTGGGTTAAACACCCCCCACTGCCCCCGCTTTGGTGACTGCTTCTGGGGTGGAGTGCACCCACACCCCTGCTTGTGGCAGCTGAATTAAACCACTTGAATTTGCTTTACAAGACCTTACAACATTTATAATACTGCTGAAACTGCCACTTGTGATTGTGGAAAAAACAAAGGGAGGGTTATTTGACACTTATTACAGGGTAAAATCAGGAGGCGGGTTATTTTACAGGGTATTAAATCATGGAAAACCCATGTCCTCCCCAGGGCATACACTCCCTAGCAGACCCATTTTCCTTTCCACTCCTTCCAGGCTCACAGGGTTGTACCTGCATGCTCATCTCAGCTCCATTATTTAGGTTGCACTATAATGTTCCCATTTAAAATAAATGACCAATATATGCACTCCCTATGGCTAAAATATCTGTGCTAAGAGGACAAGGTGTAATTAGAGGGAGAAGAGCAGAGGCGGGTCAGGTGTGTCCGCAACAAGTATACAGTAGCTAACTTCTAGACACCTCCTTGGCTTGTTGTACAGAAACACCCAAACATTTTTTTGGGCCTCTTCAATGCACATTTGCACTCAAGGGCAATGACCCAGGCAAGGAATGATGGCTGGGCAAATTGCAGACTAATCTTGTTTTTTGTCTTCACCGATGCAGTGATGGTGACCACTATAGGAACCGAGAGGGATGGACAGGCAGATGGACAGATTGAGTCCAGCCCTTGAACCCGACCCCTGTGAAAGCAAGAAGCAAAAGGCTGATTGAAAAACTGAACAGGATTCTGTTGGAAAAGGCAGTGTCGTCAGAATAAAAAACCGTCCACCGACTGTGTTGCTTTCAGCTGAATTGTGGATGGAAAAGGAAAGCCTTGAAACTTTTCTCTGTTGCTGAGCTAAAATACATTTCTTTCCACTTTCTTGTTTGGTTTAATTTAATTTCGACTATTGAGTTATGCTATATCCTGGTTCTCACTCACTCAACTGTGAATAGGGGGGTTAATTACATCTGGGCAGTAGAACAGCAAAGCAGCAGTTTACTTTCCCTCTAGAAGACCTGAGAAGAGCCCAGTGTTGGTGTTTTCTAGGGAACTTCTCAGAAGCCTTATGTTTCAATAGGCTTTTCCCTTTTCTGGGGTCCCCGAATCCTTTGGCAGAAACGTCATTCCTGTGAACATAGACAAGAAAGTTTTGGCTTGGCATGATTCATAGATTTATAGATTCATAGATGCTAGGGTTAGAAGGGATCTCAACAGATCATTGAGTCCAACCCCCTGCCTAGGCAGGAAAGAGCGCTGGGGTCAGATGACTCCCGCCAGATGCCTATCCAGCCTCCTCTTAAAGACCACCAAGGTAGGGGAGAGCACCATCTCCCTTGGAAGCCCATTCCAAATTTTGGCCACCCTTACCATGAAGAAGTTTTTCCTGATGTCTAGCCTAAATCTGCTCTGTCAGTTTGTGACCATTGCTCCTTGTTACCCCAAGAGGCGCCCTGGTGAACAGAGCATCTCCAATCCCTTTCTGCATCCCCATGATGAATCCTGCAGTCCTCTAACTGCGGTCTGACCAATGCTGCATAGAGGGGAAATATCACCTCCTTGGATCTATGAGTCATGCATTTGCTGATGCATGATAAAGTGCGGTTAGGTTTGCTGATGATTTTGTCACATTGACAACTCATGTTCATCTTGGGGTCCGCTATGACTCCGGGATCCCTTTCCACTTTTGTGCTGCTGAGAGGGTCACTTCCCAGCCAGTAGGTGTGCTGGATATTTTTGTGCCCTAGGTGCAGCACTCTGAACTTGACCCTGTTGTACAGCATCCTATTGTGCACTACCCACTTTTCTAACCTGTCCAGGTCTGCCTGCAATCGTTCCCTACCCTCCAGAGTGTGCACTTCACCCTGCAATTTAGTATCCTCCACAAAATTGGACAGAATACACTTCACACCCACATCCAAGTCACTGATAAAGACATTGAAGAGTACAGGTCCAAGGACTGAACCCTGCGGGACCCCACTACCCACATCCTTCCAGGTCGACACCGACCCGTCTACTACCACTCTCTGGGTGTGACCCCCAAGCCAATTTGCCACCCACCAGATCGTGTAAACATCCATGTTACAGCCTCTTAATTTATTTATGAGACTGGGATGAGATATCGTATCGAAGGTGTTGCTAAAGTCCAAGAAAATGACTTCCACCTCTACTCCTGCATCTAAACATTTTGTGACCCTGTCATAAAATGAAACCAGATTGGTCAGGCGTGGTCTGCCTGCTATGAATCCATGCTGGTTTCTTTGCTGCATTATTTTTCCCGCTGGACTCCCACAAATATGATCCTTAATAATCTTTTCAAAGACCTTTCCAATAGAGGTGAGACTGACTGGCTTATAATTACTCGGATCCTCCTTCCTCCCTTTCTTGAAAATAGGGACCACATTGGCCCTTTTCCAGTCCTCTAGGACCTGACCCAAGTGCCATGAGCACTCAGACAGCCGTGCCAGTGGTTCTGCTATGACAATGGCCAATTCCTTTAGCACCCTCGGATGCAGCTCATCCAGGCCTGCTGACTTGAACACATCCAGTCCATCCAAGGGACTCCGCACCAAGTCAGCATCGACAGTTGGTGGGCTGGTGTCCCTCTGATGCTCATCTAAGAACTTGTCAGGAGATTTATCTTGACCCTGGTTCAGAAACGTAGAGGCAAAAAAGTCACTGAATAGCTCAGCCCTATCCCCCCTGTCTGTCACTAATTGTTCCTCCTTGTTCAGTAGGGGTCCTATGCTGTCCTGCGCCTTCCTTTTACCCCTTATATGCCTAAGAAAAGAGTTTTTGTTGTCTTTTGATGGAGTAGTCCGTATGTAGCATAATAGTCTCTGGCTCATTACATCCTGGAGGCTGCCGACACAGCCACACTGACATGAGTGCCACTGAAATGCAGCCGTCGCTGGGTGCTAGACAGGTTCCTTAGGAAATCCCAGCCTTATGGTCTTGAGGGGAAGGTGACTCCCATGGGCTGCTTTCACTTCCATGTGTCTATGTCCCTCTTATACTGCAATGGTGTCCTCTTTGGGCAGGGACCAGCTTTTTGCCTTGTGCTTGTCCAGCGCTTAGTCCACGACTGGGGCTCTGTAATACTCCTGCTGTTGTTTCTGCAATTAATGGTTTTATAAAGGAGTTTCACCTTGAGATTTTGTGGCTGTTAACCTCCAAGCTCTGAGTGAAAGGCAAGGGTCTGTGTGTATCTTCCCCCCCTTAAACACACCTACCTAATGCAAGCACTTTTTCTCTCTCTCTCTCTCTCACTCTCTGCATTTATTCTGTGTTTGCTGGCACCTGCACATTGACTTAACAGAGCCCTCTGCCTTTCTGAAATAGAGGAGATGCTCTGGCTTGAGGCTGGATGTTTGACATTATATGATGTCAGCTTTCCCCATGTCATTAGCTCCAATTACCACGAGGTGGCACAAACACAGGGAATCATTTTGTGAATGGTGAATAGTCTCTTATGTATAAATGGAGAACCCTCTTCATCAGATACAGGGAAAGGCAGGCTGAGGAGGAAGACATCTTATTAGTGATCGTCATCACCATGAAATCTCTCGAAGGGATCACTCAGGGCACTGGCAAAAAGGGGTTGCTTAAAGGACATGGGGCATGGGTGTGCGTAATAAATGCAATGGTGAGAGACTTGAGCTGGTGTCCAAAGACAGAGTTGGGGGCTCACTCGTAGATGGGACATTGGATTTGTTTTATACATGTAACCACATGAGCGCAGAGTAGCCAGGAGAGCGGAAGCAGCCAAGCCTGGGTGAAGGCAGAAGAGAGGATGGCTTCATTCCTAAAGCCAACACCAAGGGAGAAAGGTGTGCTTGGACGCTGCATAGTGGCCAGTGGGTGGCAAAGGGTCCTGCTTGCATGCTTAGGTGGCAAAAGGACAACACCAGGCTGTCGGGAAAGTCCAGGGCAGGAGGAAGCCGCCAGTATTTAGCGGGTTTCTTGCACCTTGTGTTTAAGGGAATGGGATGTGGCACATCCTATTTTTTAAAACGTGCATCATCCAGGTTATTCATTTTGTGTTTTTGCAGACATTTTCTGGGAGTTCAGCTGCTTCCTCCCTTTGCATCGTCCCCTCAGAGATCTCTGGCAGCCTGAGCTGGTTTTGCTGAGCGGTGGTGGAAGATGCCTTCCCACGTCACACAGCGGAGGGGCTGCATGATGAATGGAAGCACTGGACAGGCAGAAAACACGCTAGCAGCGAGACACCAATGCACTGCAACATCGTGCTCTTGTATTTGGTTTTTATTACCTTGCTTACACATGGAGCCGGAGCCCAACAGAAGGGAGGGAGCAAAAGCATCTATTCAGAGTATGGCTCAAAGGACATAAGGACTCAAACTGTACAGAGCAGGGCTGCAAGCAAATGGTGAAAGACAAGCAGAGTGCTAGGAAATCTGGACTGGCCAGAGAAGCTGGGTAAATAGACAGTGGCCTTGAGTTAAGCTGGACTATTTGGGTGCCTATTGCCTTTTTTCTTTTCCTCAGTGACATGGGGTCTGATTTTGGCCCTTACTGCTTTGGTAGCCACTGATAGGGAAATGTTGGTGGTTTCTGGCACTGGTAAATGTATGGACGGTAGGCTGTCAGAGCTTCTTCTCTTGGGTCTTGCCGAGCA